TAACTGTTCATTCTTGTATTTCGTTGACTTGTTTAAATTTTGAGATTTAGATATTCACTTTGAGAAAACATTGAATAACATATTTTAAGTTGAGTATATATGTGCGTTTTAGTGTTAGTCGAGTCTTTATTTTACTACAAATCAAGTTTGAAAGTGTTTGATAAGTAAGATTTTATTATTTAATTAGGAAAAAAAAACTCGATTTTGGAAAGTGAAATGATGAAAATGGGCAAGTTTCGATATGAAAGTGAATCGATTTTTATTAAATTATGTTAGTATGACATATTAACACAAGTTTTAACATGAAAATATGATTATGAAACATCAGTAACCTGAAAATATGATTATGTGTGTGGATTTGGATATCTAAAAATGCAAAATAGAAATTTCAGCGTTCTGTTTGATTTTTTAAAATGTCGCCCCGAATCGAATTTTCCATATTCTTCAAGGAGATGAGTGGAGTTTGAAAGCTCTATGAGTTTTATGTCTGTTGACTTTGGAATCAAGTCATTTGAAGGTCGGTAGGATAAATTATGCAATTTTTCATTTGCTGTGTTCAGTGTACCTGTGAACATCTTTTGGCATGTGTTTTGGTGTTCCTTTGGTTGCATAATAATGTTATAAAATTCTGAATTTCTTAATTGAATGAGTTAATGAAATACTATGAAAATATCATATAATTTTGAATTTGAAAATAGTCTAATGGAAGCAGGTTTCTCAGTTGAACTCCGTTAACATACGCTAACCTCCATTTTCATCATCAATTTTTGTTTTATTTATTCAATAAATCAAAGGTAACTAACTTAAATCAATTTTTTCGTTTGTTGTTAGAACATGTAATAGAACGTAAGGGTAATTTACAAAATAAAAAAGAAATAATGAAAAAAATTAATTTAAATCAATTTTCAAAAATCTAAGAAACAAATTTTTTAGTAACAACTCCAAATTCTAAGATTTGGGTGTAATAGATAGAAATCTAGTTTGACATAAAAACTCCCATTTGTAACATTAT